ATCAATAAAAACAAACAATACAAAGAATCAAAGAAACCAGAAGTTGACTCTTTGAGAAAATCAGTAAGATTGACAAACCCTTATGCAAATTAACTATAAGGTGAAGAAAGACTATTCAAATTAGTAAATTTAGAAAAAAAAAAAAAAGGAGGACATAACAACAGATAATGAGGAAATCCAGAAAATTCTAAGAACATACTACACTCCACTAAACTGGAAAACTTACAGAAAATGGATAATATTCTTGATATATTCCATTTACCAAAATTAAGTCAAGTTCACATAAGCAATTAAATCAGACCTATAACCCCCAGTGAAACAGAAACAGTCATTATTCTCCCTACCAAAAAAAGCCAAGGGTCCAATGGTTTTAACACAGAATTCTACCAGACTTTCAAAGAAGAGTTAATATCATTTCCCTCATTATTCCATAGAATAGAAACGAAAATAACATTGCCTAATTAATTTTACAAGGCCATTATTACCCTAAAACCCAAACCATATAAAGACCCAACAATTAAAGAGAATTACAGACCAATATCCCTTAAAAACATAGATGTAAAAGTGCTCAATAAAATATTTGCAAACTGAATCCAAGAAGATAGCAAAAAAGATCATCTACTATGATCAAGTAAGCTTCATCCCAGAGATGCAGGGAATGATTCAAAATATGCAAATCTATTAATGTAATCCACCACATAAGCAAACTGAAAAAAATAATGCACATGATCATCTAATCAGATGAAGACACGGCCTTTGACAATATCTAACACACCTTCACAATTAAAGTCCTAGAGAGATTAGGGACGCAAGGGATACACCTCAACATAGTGAAGGCAATGTACAGGAAACATAGCCAACATCAACCTAAATGGAGATAATCTCAAAGCAACTTCACTAAAATCAGGAGCAAGACAAGGTTGCCCACTGTCTCCAAGCCTATTCAATATAATACAAGAAGTCTTAGCTAGAGAAATAAGACAACAGAAAGATATCAAGGTGTAGGCTTGGATTTTTCACCAAACCTACTTTATTTAGGGTTCTTAAAATACCTTCACCTCCCTTCCAATGCCTCCTCCCACCCCTGACCTTAGATAGAAGATTAGTAGGGGAAAGGGCTGTGGACTTCTTTTATGTACTTCCTGCTGATTAGGGTTGATGGGTCTTTACCAAACTAGGTCATGAGAATACCAGCAGTCCAGTCCAAAGGCCAACACCTAGCAGCAACAGGAATGAGCACAAGTCAGTGAAAGACACAAGATTCAGTTGGATTCAGTTCTGTGGAATGTTTCTCTCTACGAAATCAAGTGTTGAAGCACGAAGATCAGCATAGTGATGTCTATCTAAAAAGTGATGTCTCACTGTGGGTGGGCCTCTATATATCCCCTCTCCTCCGCCCAAAGATGTTCTCAGCTGGCCAAAGTCATGCCCCTTGCATAAGAGAGCTCACAGCAAAACATCACATGCCCAGCTTGCAGCAAAGCATCACATGATAAAACTGAGTCTTCTAGGAAACCTGAAACTTCATCAAAGGGATGGATACAAATTAGAAAAAAAAATCAAAGTATCATTATTTGCAGATGATATGTTAGTATACATAACTGAACCAAAAAGAAAAAAAAAAAACAGGAAATGCCTACACCTGATAAACATCTTCAACAAAGTAGATGGATACAAAATTAACTCACAAAAATCAGTAGCCCTCTTATATGGCAAGTGGTCTGAGAAAAAAATAAGAGAAACAACACCTTTCACAATTGCCTCAAATAATATGAAATATCTTGTGGTATCTATTACCAAGCAAGTGAAAGACTTGTATAATAAAAACTTCAAGTCACTGAAGAAAGAAATTGAAGAAGGTATCAGAAGATGGAATGATCTCCCATGCTCATAGGTCAGTAGGATTAATACAGTAAAAATGTCAAATCTACCAAAAGCAATCTATGGATTCATTGCAATTCCCATGAAAATTCTTCAAAGATCTTGAACACAATTCTTCACAGATCTTGAAAAAACTATTTTCAGCTTCATATGGAAACACAGAAGATCCAGGGTAGCTAAAACACTCTTGAATAATAAAAGAACTGCTAGAGGTTTGACCAACCTGGATTTCAAGTTGTACTATAAAGCTAGAGTAATAAAAACAGCATTGTACTGGCACAAAAACAGACACATTGATCAACGGAATCAAACTGAAGATTCAGACATAAATTCGCACACCTATGGAAACCTATTTTTAATAAAGAAGCCAGAAATATACACTGGAAAAAAGACAGCGTCTTCAACAAATGGTGATGGTCAAACTGGATGCCATCATGTAGAAGAATCCAAATAGATCGGTACTTATCACCCTGCACAAACTCAACCCCAAATGCATCAAAAGTCTCAACAGATGGCCAGATACTCTGAACCTGACAGAGGAGCATGCAGGAAATAGCCTTGGGTTCATTGGCTTTCTGAACAGAACACAGTTAACACTAAAATCAACAATTAATAAATGAGCCCTCATGAAACTGAGAAGCTCCTGCATGGCAAGGGACCATCATTTCAACAAAGAAGTAGGGTACAGGATGGAAAAAGATTTTATTCAATCCATACCTGGTAGAGAGCTAACACCCAAAATATATAAAGAACGCAAAAACTAGATGGGGTACAGATCTAAACTGAATTTTCAGAAAACACAAATGGCTGAGAAACAATTAAGGAAATGTTCAACATCCTTAGCCATCACAGGAAAGAAAATCAAAATGACCTTGAGATTTTTATCTTACGCCTTTCAGAATGGCTAAAATAAAAAAATAAAAACAAACAGGTAATAGCTTGTGTTAGCAAGGATGTGGGGTAGGAGGAATGCTCATACATTGCTCTCGGAAGTGCAAACTCATAGCCAGTGTGGTGTTTCCTCAGGAAGATGAGAAGTGATCTACATTAAGATCCAACTATACCACTCTCGGGCATATATCCAAAAGATGCTTAATCCTACCACAGAGACACCATGTTCATTGCTGCTTTATTCATAATAATCAGAAATTGGAAACAGCCTATGTCATCAACAGATGGACAATGAAAATGTGATTCATTAACCCAACACAGTATTTCTCAGCTGTTAGAAAGTGAAACCACACCCTGAGATAACCCAGACCCCAAAAGACAAATACAATATGTGTTTGCTAATATGTGGATGATAGCTTTTAAGCATGCTATAGGCACATCATGATCTGTATAACCACAGAGGTGAGGTATAGATTAAGGGACTAGGGAGAGGGAAGGATTTGCTGAGGAAGTAGATATACAATCATGGAGAGATGAGGGGAAGCAGCTGGAATTGAAGGATTAAAAGAAGAGGAAGAGGGAAGAAGGTTAGGGTCCAGAGAAGACAGGGAGGGACAGCTACCACTAAGGACCATATGAAGCGTCATACAGACACCTACTACAGTAAAGGTTTCTTAAAATACATACATCTATGAAAGAAATCTAAATGGAGTCACCAAATAACAGGGTAAACAAGGCCCCAACCGGAGCTCTCTTGCCACCAAATTAAACCTCTAGTGCCAGGAATTAGTTACAGATAATTGAGTTGTTGACCAAAGAGTCCCCATGGAAAGCCCCAAGCAATTCAAGCTAATGTCAAGGCTATTGATAGCTCTCCACAACCTGACAGTTGCTGATGACAACACTTACACTACGCATCTCACTGAACTAGAAGTAGAACTGGTACCCTGCACACTACCAGACAAAGCTAACCACCAAACCAGCTCCAAAACCCCTGATCTACCATGGTGCCCTGTCTGTGTATGTTGGTGCAACGGTGGCACAAGAGTTGTGGGATAACTAACCACTATCTGGTTGGATTACAGGCCTAGTCCACAGGATGAAACACATGACTGACATTGCTCAGATAGCCAAGAACCTGAGGCTAGACAGGCCTTGGACCTAGAGAAAGCAGTGGTTCTCAACCCACACCCTTTGACAAACCTCCATCTCCAAAAATCTTTACAATCAATAACAGTAGCAAAATTACGATTATGAAGTACCAACAAAAATAATGTTATGGTTGGGGGTTACCGCAACATAAGGAAATGTATTAAAGGGTCACAACATTAGGAAGGTTGAGAACCACTATGCTAAAGGAACGTAGTGATAAAATGACTAATGACTTTCTGCTATACTCAAGAGATCAGTGCCTTGCTCAGCCATCAAGAGATGCTTCCGCCTGCAGATGGGAACAAATACAGAGCTCTGTCCAGACTGAGAGACAGTGGAAAACTCAGTCCTAAGTGGGAGGTCTCCATCAAACCCCTCCCCTACATACATAGGAATTCAGAGACTGTGGCAGCATATGCAGGGTCTACATGGGTCCAAGCCAAGTGGGGTTCCAGTGCTGAGAGGGGAAACAGGCACGTGACCCCATCCCTAAGAAGCTATCTCTAATCGATAATTGGGAATAAATGGTCATCTCCAAAGGAGTCCCACTGGGTACACAAATCAGCAGTAAAATTCCAACAAAATGAGCAATATTATTGTTCATGTTTTGTCTCATAATGCTTTACTTGGGATTTCCCCCTTACCTTCTTTTATCTATTATGGTTTCTGATTTCGTATTTTTAAGGGTTTTGTATATTTGTGTGTATATACGTCTACATGTATGTGTTTCTGGTAGGCTTTTTCTTCTCTTTGTCTATTTGTTTTTTTTGTTTTTTGGTTTTTTTTTTTTAATTCTAGTTTGTCTTGTATCGGTCTGTTCATTTTTTAGGGAAGTGTGGAATTGGATGGGTAGGGAAGTGGGGAGTATGAGAGACGAGAGAGGAGAAACCATGATCAAAATAAACTGTATAAAAGAATATTTTTAATTAAAAAAGGGGGAGTAGATATAAATAGTATGTCTGGTATGTAGTTCAAAGTCTAGCACATATGTTAGGTTCTCTAACCCACTCCCAACAGGGTTTCCTCCCATGCTGAGTAACGTGCACCCTTGAATGATAAACCTTCAGACAGAAAAATTTATTTCTAAGGTAGAAGCATTTAATAGAATTATAAAAAAATAACACTTTCAAAATCAGTTAAGTAATCACGGGTATCTCTTCTCTTCGCATACCCATATTCAAACATGATTTCTAGCCATCCTTAAATTAACAGAAGACAAATACAGAATCAAGGTAGTGTGTCAGCAGAAGTGTTGTATTAAAGCTATCAGCCATAGAAAACAGAAAACAGAAAGTGAACTTGTGCAACCATTTCCAACGGCATTGTGCATCAGAAAGTACTTCACTGTGGTAAGCCAGCATCGGGACACTGGAGCAAACATCAGACGAAGTCAGCCCTTTGCTTTCAGAATTCCCAAGTCTAGTCACCCTGAAGGGGTAACGACAGAGACACAGCGCTGTGTGAAGTATCAGCCTCTAACTTACTGCAGGACTTCTCTGAACTTCAGATTCTGGCGTAAAAAGATACCTTTCCACAGACTCCTGTAGGTTCTAAGTTAGACCAGGGTTTCCCCTAACTGTAACACTGCTCATACTATCATCTCGATACCACTGTTACTGAGGCAGAGGACATTCCCCCCATCTCTCAGCCTCAAACAAATATTCTCCATTTTAAAAATCAATCAGCAATTCACTGGGTTCAACATCATCATCAACTGTCACCATTCTGACACTGGTACCGTTTTTAGTAGCTTCTGATATTCTCCTACATGTTTCAGTATACGTGACTGAAAGGGTGCGATCCGTATTCAAACTAAGACTTGAAAGAAGGGGTAACTAAAGCTTCCCAATTGGGTGTTGATTCTTGAGGGGGACTGCCTTTCAAAGTGAAACGACCTCAGATGGCCCCAGGACTGCTTCTGAGTCTCGGTCCACAGACAGACTACACCATGAGAATACAGTACCTACAATCTCCATCACTCTTTATAGTCAATACACTACACAGTAATGTCTCACAGTTAAAATGCTTTTGGCCATTTCGGTATCTACTCACATAAATATCTGAAGTTTTAATATTGCGATACTGTAAAACATAGCTAAAGAGGTGCACAGTTAGGCCAGGGCAAGGCTTCTCAAACTTGGCACTAGCGACATGGTGTTTAGCGGAACCTGTAGCCTCTACCCATTCGATGCCAGTAGCAGCCTACACCCATCTACTTTGACCAACAAAAGTATCTCCACACAATCCCAAATGTCTTCTGGGAGCCCAAACTCCACTTGAGAATCACGGGATGGGAACTTGACTGTAGACAACACTGTAAACTTGGGGTACACAAATAAGACAGGACTCTACGCAGTATTACTAATGTGAAGGAGACTAGCAGATCCTCCGCTATTCTGCTTATGCTGGGCAGAGCGTTTATGTCACAGCCTACTGACACACACTGCTACCGATATGGTCCTATCTTTCTCCTACATTAAACAGGGGTGGTACCGGGGTAGCTAATCCAGCAACCACCTTAACATGAAGTGATGGGGAAAGCTACAGTTTGGTAAGCAGAGGATCCAGAACAGTCAAGGCAGATGCCCTTCTTTCTGAATCCGCAGTCTCTCCTTCTCCACCTGCAAGCGCTCCTTCTCAATCTGCAGCTTCTCGGATTCGAACTTGAGAAACTGCAGCCGATCTTTCTCCAGCTGCAGGCGCTCCCGCTCCAGTTTCAGCTTCTCCGCTTCTATGTCCTGCGGCTGCAGCATGGACTTCTCGCCTGGGCCGAGTTCGCTCTCTAGGGCGGGTTTCTCAGTGCTGGCCAGCTGCAGCCTCCACTTCTCCCTCTCGATCTGCAGCCTCTCCTTCTCCAGCTGCAGCCGCTCGTGCTCCAGGTCCAGGTGCCGCAGCCGCTCCTTCTCCACCTGCAGCCGCTCCTTCTCCACCTGCAGCCTCTCGGCCTCAATATCCAGCCGGCGCTTCTCCAGCTCCAGCTTCTGTTTCTCTATGTTCATGAGCAGATGGGGTTCATCATAGGTGGCTCTGGACGGCGTGGAGTTGAGGGTGAAAAATTCATCAATGTGAGGGAAGTCGGGGAGCTCACTCTCCCTCCTGGAATCTGGTATGACTGACGACAACATTTCTTCCTCCTCCTCAATCTCAAACTATGGGAAAAGAGAAAAGGCTAATTTAGTATTTGTTTTTACCGTTGTCATGGTCAGTTTGCTCCATTACTGGTCTTTCTGATTATCACTATTTCGTTTATTCTGTATTTGTGTACATGTATGTGTAAGTGCAGGTGAATGCTGGCCACAGCCCATTTGTGGAGGTCAGAGAACAATGGTTTTTCTGGCGTCTGCTTTCCCCTTCCACTAGGCTGAAACAGGGTCTTTCTTGTTTACCATGAGGCAAACGTCAGGCTGTCTATTCTCCGGGCTCAGCCAGGGGAGTGTGGGGGTTACAGGTGTATTCCACAGCAGTTTTCACGGGCTTGCCATTTAGCCTCTGAGCCATCTCCCAGACCAGCATCAATATTTCTTGATGGCTTTCCCTGCTGTCTGAGCACACAAAACTAACTAATCTGAGCTACTAGCATTAAATTACCTGCTATCACTAATGGGTATCACTGAGGTGGGGAAGACAGAAGGGAAGGACTCCAGGAGAAAACAGAAGGATTGTTATCTACTGCCTGTTAGCTTCCTCAGCTCACGTGGATCGCTGATAAAGAAAACGTGTCCCAGCTGCATACTTACTTCTGGGCTCTGCGGATCCCTTTCTTCCTCTTCCACTTTGACCTCGGTTAGGGACCCGCCTGCATCCCGGAAATCTGCCACATTCTGCCAGTCAAAATTTGCATCATTTCGGAATGCAATTTTTTCATCTATCTCTTCAGTGAGGGAGTCATCTAAATCAGATGTGGGCAGAGGAAACCCAGAACCAACCAGCTTCATGTTGGCCTTCATTCTCTTCCTCTTCATGAGCGCGCGCCAGTCGAGGTAGCGTCTCTTCACCTCTGTGCCTGTCCTCTGCTCTCCTTCCCCTACAGCGTTGACGCACTGCGCGATCTCCTCCCAGGCCATTCGCTTCATCACATTTATCGTTGTGTTGAGCTGCTTGGAAAAAATGACTTCTTTCCTTTTGGTGATTTCCTTCAAAAGGGTCTGAGTCTCCTGAACACTAAAATTGCTTTTCCTTTTCCTTTTCAACTGCTTCATTTTTTAAAAATTCAGTGCAGGTTTTAATGGCCAAAAAAGGGAGCTGTACAAAGTATGTGAAGGGAGTGCTACAAAAAATCAAAACCCAAGGACAACGCCTTGTTGCCGCCTGGTTCAAATCACTGAGGAAAGTTTCGCTTCATGCAGTCGTGGAGCTGGGTTAGACACCTAAAGGAGAAAGGTTAAAAACAGAATCAATCAACCTAACCCTTACACAACATATTGCAACCAGTGCTGTACTACTAACAAAACTGCCTAAATGCAGCTTGATACCACTGGCTAACCTCCATGGCTCAAATAAACTCTAAAATTTGATTTTCCCTCAGTTTACCTGAACACATCTATCTCTTAAGTATCACAAATTGGCCTTATGTGAAAAGATTTCTGCAGCAATGCACACCACGAAGAATATAACCTTCTGAAACACAATGAAGCACATGCACAGGGCTAAACTGAATCAGGAAACGTACGCCTCTACTGCTTGAGCCCATGCACAGAATTACAAGTAAATGCTAATTCCCCGTTTTTTAACGTTTAACAACAAAGCATTTTGTTTCCACTTATAGACTTTTGTTCAGTATTTTTTTCTAGCTCCCACGGTCTCTATTCAGCCAACTGTGCACATTTAATAACATCACCAAAAATATGCCCATCATATCTTTTCGTTTCTGCCCATTCATGTGGAATAACTATCTTCCAAATACCTACTGTCTGAAGAAAGAGGCAAGAGATGATCCTGCAAAAAAATAAAATAAAAATAAAAATAAAAATCTGTCGGCTTAACAAGTACACAGAAAAAGAACCAAGTTTACAAACCCAAGAAGAACGCAAACCAACTATTTCTAAAATACACTTGCAACATTTCTAAAGATATTTAATGATTAATGGAAGCACAGTGAATCAGAATGTATCTTTACAGGCAAGCCTTTTGTGAACAAAGTTTAACAAAAGCACAAATTAAAACCCTGCTGAAAGACAATGTGTACTGTGGTTATGAGCAGATTCTGGAGTTAGACTCCCTGGGCCGGAACACTAGATCTATTTCGTGAATGGAGGCAAGGACTGGCTTCAGACTCAGAGGTAGGCAGGAAGAGTCCAAAGTTCAGGCCTAGATACACAGTAAAGCTTTTTCTCAAGGGAAAATGCAGTTCGGTGGCAAAGCACTGCTCTGGCATGTGCAAGGCCACAGCCCTGAGCTCTCTCTTCAGTCCTGGGGGGCTGGTGAACAGGGGGAGGGAAGAGGAAGATAAGGACAGGAGAGAGGGAATGAAAGCGAACCTGAGACTGCCTGAGGCTTACATCACTTAACTTCCCCATGTACGATTTTACTTATAAAATGAAAATGTTGCTCAGCAGAGAGACAGCAAATAATATAATTTAGAATATACAGAAGACTAGACCTGAACACAAAAAAATAATGTGAATTGTTTGCTGCTATATCAAAGAAAAATTGAAATAATTTTGGCAACAGGACAGCAAGGCCATAATAATGCTGCTATTGTTCTTGATTTGAGCAACAGGCGTGCAGGTGTATTTAACTCCTAAGTGTTAAATATACATGGCTTCAACTCCACTTTCTGAGATTCCGTGGTGGGAGCTAGGGAAGAGCCAAAAGCACTGAAAACTATAGTATTGGAGCCCACAGATTAGGTCTATGTGTACACGTAGCTAGTCAACTAGAACAATAAGGCTAACATTATTTCAGTATATATCAAATAATTTCTAATAAGAATTCTTAATTGACTATTTTAACATCTAATATAAGCAAGTTTAGGGCACAATTTAATACTCTTATAATTAAATTATTTTATTTTATTTTATTTTATTTTATTATATTTTACTGAGACAAGAGTCTCCTATAGCCCAGCTAGCATCAAATTAGCTACATAACTGAGGATGATTTTGAACTTTGAATCCTTCTGCCTCCACTTCTGACGCCTTGGGATTACAGGCGTGTTTTATGTAGTGTGTGAAATCAAACCCAGGGCCTCATATATTTTCCTAAGTCCTCTAAATGTAGTTTAGAGGATAGTTCTAAACTAAATGTAGTTTAGAATGTAGTTCACTTGAACTACATTCCCAGCCGTTAGACACTCATCTGCTGTGTAAAATACGGAAACACACTGATCTATGTGTCATTAAACCAGCCTCACTATAGCACTGCTTGGTATGCTTTACTGTAGGATACTTGAAAGAATGAGCGAAGGAGCCAACATTTTGCATTTTCCTTCCTCTGCCACCTGTCCCACCACTGAGGAAGTAGAAGAAAGCTCATCTCCTCCAAGGACAATGTCTCCACTACATGGTATTGTATCTAACAAATAAGAAGTTAAAACAGTATAAAATTAAAAGTTATCAGTAGATGGGAAAGGGAAAACAGAAAAGAGAATTCAAGGAATAAGGAAAATGAAGGCTTCGTGCACATAAAGCTCATACCTCTAAGAAAAAGAGAACTCAACACAAGACAGTCATATAGTGGCTTGTGGCTGACTGAAGACCAGGCCACATAAGACAACATTTAAGAACTTTGACAAAGTTCAGGGGTGGGGGGATGCCTCTTCAGCAAACAGGCCCCACTACCCTCAGGCAGATTCTACTACCAGCTAAGTCAGCAGAGACACTTTAAAAAGCTAGAACCAGAAATCAGACAGGTTTAAAAAAATGAATGAGAACTGAGCTGACATTAATCACGCACAAGGCTGTAATGGTAACTGTTCCCAGATCGCTTAGCTGCGTGGGGGAGGGGGAGTCGGCATTAGAAACACAGAGCAAAACACTGTCATTTTTAAGGTAAAAGCATGATCTGAAACACAAATGCTCACTAACAGGGAACACCAAGCCACATGCAGTAACTGTCACATTCACGTGTAGATACTTGTCAGAGCGCTACGAAACTAACACAAACACAGGGGAACAAAACTGCAAAAAGATGGGCCAGCAAGATGACCCAGTGGTCAAAAGCGCTCGCTGCACAAATAGGACTTAAACCTGACCCCTAAAACCTACGTGATGGTGGAGAGAGCTGAGTCCAGTAAGCTCTCTCTCTCCTCACCCACTCTAACCCATGTGCAACACAGCCTGCACTGGCACACCCATTAGTAAAGAAAATTTAAAAAATAAAGTGGAAGAGGAAATGCATATGTCCCTTTGTGCACATTCCAAGGCTCAGTTGTAAGCGTGCGTCAACACAAAATGTGCTACTTTCTCCAAACTCAGCAGCTCTGCTCAGCTCCATTGCTGGCTCTAGGACTGAGGAATAAGGGATTTCTGCTTCAGCCACAAAACTGTTCTTAAACCCAGAGCACATTTTATTTCACTATCAGGTGATCAAAATGATGTCAGAAATCAAGTTATGAAGGGGTTTTTATTACCCAAAACTTCATTTTCTAAGTCTACCATTCTTGGACTCCACCTTCGTACACGGATGTGCTACAGCAGTACTGTCCAATATGAACACAAGGAGGTCCACGCGTAGTTTAAAATTTCCCAGTAGTTAAAGTGAAAATTTGAGGTGAAATTTTAACAACTTATAGGTGTACTGGCTGCTTTTGTGTGTCAACTTCACACAAGCTAGAGTCTTCAGAGAGAAAGGTGCCTCCGTTGAGCTCATGCCTCCATGAGCTCCAGCTATAATTAATAATCAATGGGGAGGAGGGAGCCCATTGTAGGTGGGGCTATCCCTGGGCTGGTGGTCCTGGGTTCTGTAAGAAAGCAGGCTGAGCAAGTCACAGGGAGCAAGCCAACAAGCAGCACCCCCTCCACAGCCTCTGCATCAGCTCCTGCCTCCAGGTTCCTGCCCTGCTTGAGTTCCTGTCCTGACTTCCTCCAGTGATGGACTAGGATCTGGAAGTGTAAACTGAATAAACCCATTCCTTCCTAACTTGCTTTTCAGTCATGGTGTTTCTTCACAGTAAAAGAAACTCTGACTAAGACAATATGTGAATCTATATACTTAATAGTCACTGGAAATGTCATTGACATAAAAATTATAATAAAACTACTTCTTTTCTTAACTCAGTTGTCATCATCACCACCACCATTAATCACCATTATTTTGGCAAAGGTCTTGCTTTGTATTTAGCCCAGGCTGGCCTAAGTACTGGGATAACAAGCATGAGTCACCATGACCAGTTTCCAGGTTTCACGGTATCTGATTTTGTATTCACTCTTTTCACAGACTGAACAGCATGTATTAGGAGGCTAATAAGTGAGGCATATAAATCTACAGTATATCAACATCAATAAAACACCACTTAAGTCCAAGAGTTCAAGGCCATCCTGGGCTACAGAACAAAATCCTATCTCAAGGCAAAAGAAAGAAAAAAATAAAAAGAAAGAAAGAGAGAGAGAAAAGAAAGAAAGGTGTAGAGAAATCAAGGCATGCAGGTAATATATATGCTAAGCAATTTCCTTTCAGAGATCATTAAGAACAGGATCTGCTATCACAAAGGGCTTACAGTCTAGAAAAGCCGATTTACTTTAGGGGAGAAAAATGCCTAAGAGAATGATATAGACGATACTAAGAGATCACATCTACTTTTAAGAAACAACTTTTATTAAGAGTCTTACCTGCTGGAAACTCATCAAATGCAAGCTAAGCTAATTCAGATTAAAAAAATAATAATAACTATTTTGAGAACCATACTTTTACAATGGATTTAGACAATTATGCCTACCTCTATCAGACCTCTTGACTAGAAAAGAAGGCTGGAATATCCATTGTCAGGCTGAGTAAAAAAGTATAAACTAACTAACTGCTTAAAACACCGCCAGAGGAGGCACTCTAAAACACTAGAGAGATAAGCTGACCCTCCCCTGTTCCAGAGCCAGGATAAGCTGACCCCACCCCTGTTACAGAGCCCTGCCTGCACTTCAGCATTTTTGCTCACCCTCCAACAAACATTAATGTGAACACATGCACACAAGCGTAACACATTCACCATGAGACTGCTCTAAATCCTACAACAGCACAGAAATGCAAGTTATCTTTCCTTGTAAAAAGCTCCTGAGAGCCATTTCAGAAAAGAAAACAAGTGAAAATGAATTAGACTTTACCTCAGTATACCTCAAATACTGTTTCCATACATAACTAATTTAAACTATCGAGGTACATTACATTATTTTTATATAAATAAATTATCTCAAACTAGTATTATCTAAACCCAGTGCTGGGACTTAAACCTTTAGTCCCTCATGCATGAAAGCCAAGTTTTCTGCCATCGAGTTGTATCCCGACTCTGAACCCAGGATACATTTTCTATTTTAGACCTCCCCTTGACTAATCATTTTTATGCTCGTGACTATATGCTGCTTTGCTGAATGGCACGGCTCCTGTTGTCACGCTCCCTGTCTTCCCAACACCTGTGGTATCTGCCCTTCTGTCTTGCCGATCAAATTTATCTTCAGAAAGCCTTCACCCCGAAATCTGATATCTGAGTGTGTGCATATGTGCGCACACCCAGGCATGCGGGCGGGGGCTGAATGTTGAATGTCTTCTTCAATCATTCTCTACCTGTCAGTATTATAATCAATTATTTTGTTAAAGATATGAAAAATCAAAAATGAATACATTACTCCTTCTATCAGGTAGCTTCTATCCTAGTGAAACAGAGACATAAAAAAAAGGTACACGAAGCTAGGCATGGTGGCACACACCTTTAATCTCAGCGCTCGATGGGGGGGAAGAGGCAGGAGGATCTCTGTGAGTTCGAGGCCAAGCTGGTCTACAAAATGAATCTAGGAAACCTTGTCTCAACAAAAAACAAAAACCAAAGAAAACAAGAACAAGAAGACAACAAGAACAACAAAAGCATCAATGTCTTTAACCAGGCATGGTGGTGCAGGCCTGTAATCCCAGCACTAGGGGAAGCAGAGGCAGGCAGATCTCTGTGAGTCTGAGGCCAGCCTGGTCTACAAAGCAAGTCCAGGACAGCCAGGGCTAGACAGAGAAAACCTATCTTGGGGGGAAAAAAAAAAAAAAAGTGAGACTAGAGTCCAGAAGCTGAAGGCTGTGAACAGATGTTTTTACCGCCCAGGCTCGTGTATCAATTCTCTCACTTTGTAGCCCTTTGGTCTTGAGCAAATGAGCTGCTCACACATATTTACTAGTTCATAAATGAGACTAGGATAATACTCAGGGCATTTAAGGATTAGAAGTAACAATTCAACTAACCTTATAATGAGTAAGATACAATAAGCCCACAACAAGTACCAACTACCATCTTTATGTCATAGTTCAGAACTGGACACGATAACTTTTTTTTTTTTTTTTTTTACTGGATGATTAATTTCAACACATGAAGATTATTAGAATACTATCAAACTATATTGGGTGTCAAGACTCAGAAATCTTTAATAGAATCCATAAAAGATTTTGAGAAGGAAAGAGCAATTTGGGTCATACACAACAAAAGACTTAATGAGGAACAGAACTCAAAGGGAGTCATGCCAGGAATTAAAGCAAGGAAACTTAACTGAGGCCTAACACCAACTACTATTTAATGTTGGCCTAGCAAGACCCTACACTTTACTGAGAAATTGTTCTGAAAGAGAAGCACATTAACTGTAAAAGGGCACTTTTTTTTTTTTTCAAAAAGGAACTTTCCTCCTATATGGTGGTACTATGACTGAAATAACAGGTAAGAGACAAAAGTCCTTAATAAAATAATGACTGCTGTTGACAATAGAATGTTATAGAGTAACCACCGTCGGCTTTTGCTGCTCTCAAAAGCCAAGACCATTTTACTAACTAGACTGTTCTAATGGCATTGTTAAATGGCAAAAATAGCGGCCCCTCAACCTACCAGAATCCATGTGTTTCTAAAACTCCTCAGTAGTTGCTGCCAACTACTTAGCCTTCCATACCCAACCCCAACAGTCCCTATGTCTATATGTAGAGTTTACAAAGTGACATCCACCTCCAGTGGAGCTATGCTGAGCTAATGAACTATTTCATTGATAAAATACACTTCACTGCATTTTTAAACTCAGTGGACTTGATAGTAGAACCTGTGATAGCTATTCTTGTCAACTTGACGACGCCTGGAATTAACTAAAACCCAAAAATGAAGGACACGCCTGTGAGAGATTTTTGCTTAATTTGAAGTAGGAAGATCTACTTTAAGGTAGAAAGACACACCTTTAACCCAGATCATTTGAGCTGGGAAAACCCACCTCTAATCTGGGCCATCTCTTCCACTTGAAGCTTATATAAGGACACAGAAGAAGGAAGCTTTTGTTCTTTGCCTGCTTGCTCTCACCTAGATACTTAGCAAGTCCATTCCTTCACTGGCAGTACAGCCTGCTTCTCAAGAATTCCAGCGTATTCTGAAGACCAGCTGAGGCATTCAGCCTCATGGACCGAGCAACCACTGGATTCTTGGATTTTCCATTCATAACCAGCCACTGTTGGATTAGCTAGACCTGTAAATCATTCTAATAAGTCCCCCTTTCTATATATACAGATAGAGATTCATTCTAGAAGTTCTGTTACTCTAGAGAACCCTTACTAAAACATAACCCATCTCAGATTTCTGGTCAGTCTTGGCTTAATCCAGGGAAAAAGCTTTACCTGAAGCCTTGACATACTGAACATTGGGGCATCAACACAGCCTGAGGGAAAACTGGTTAGCTGCACTTATAAAAACAAAAGCTAATTTTTTATGAATGTGTCTGTCTTTCTATCCCATTCATTCTTTGTGTTCTGGTACCACATATGAGAAGTCTGGGTTTTTGCCACACACTCCCAAATAAGTTCCTCAAAAAATATTTACTAAGTTCCTACTTTTGAGGCACCATTCATGGTGTTAGGGAGATAACAGGTCATAACAGATATAACTGCGACATTTCTGATGTCCAGCACTCTCCCCTTTGTTTCATCCCGTTCTTACAGCAAGAAACTTAACAGTCACAATCTCGAAATCTCAGACCCCCCGATGTCCAAATCAGAGGTAACAGCCGTTTTCCTGGGCTTTCATCCCACGAAATGTGTTAGTGACTCACATAACCACCAATGACTACGCTAAGGCCCGCTAAGGACTAAACGAACTTTCTAGGTTTTGCCTAACACATAGAACTAAGAGATCCGGAAAAAAAAAAAAAAAAAAGAAGAAGAAGAAGAAGAAGAAAGAAAGAAAAAGAGAGAGAGAAAGCAATTAAATTCACTAAGCAGTTAAGAGGGAACGCATTCCAGATCTACAAACTCGCTTCCACCCCAATCCCACCGCAATCCCATTTCAAGAGCGGCTTTCCTCTCCTCAGCATTCTTACAGGACAATTACTTTTCTTCCTCTAAAACTTGAGAGGGTAAACACAACTGAAGTTTGCTGACGGGTCTCCCGCTCTGAAGTACCACAGTGGGAAGGTGCAGACCAGGCCTCTCGGAACACAGGGATCCCAGTTTGAGTTGGGGGGAGGGGTTAGCACCTGACTCAGGATGCTGCTGCGCCCAACGGGAGTCCAGGCAACTTGGGTGGTTACTCTTCCTCTTCGAACTGTCAGCAATAGCCCTACCTAGGTTTCCCCTGACTTTTGCAGAAGCCTTCTTTTCACTGGTCAGGCTGTGCGTGGGACTTTTCTCCCAGCCTCAGAATCCTGTGCTCTGCAAAGCTAAGGCCAAAGGCCGCAGCGGCGACGCCCCACGGAGACCCACGGCTGCGGGGGTCTCCCCTGGTCCCTCAAGTTCCCCAGCCCTCATTACTCCGCTCCACCCCAACACTCACCTGCGACCCAGCGGCACCCTCGTAGGATCGCCCCTAAGGGTGCTGGAAAAGAGATGCTTCATGGAGTCCCCGCCCACCAACTTCTGCCTGGCCCTATTGGCTGAGATGGCTGCAGCTCATGGGTTGCAGCTAATCCATTTGTCCAGGGGGGATTGCCACTCTGCCTGAAAGCCCGCCCCAGGCCAGGCCTCACAATGGGAATCGAGTCCCAAACCGGTTCCGGGTTAGTGCCCTGGACACCGCCCCGCAGTGATTTTCCTCCCGCTCCAAGCTCACTCTTTGTAACGTGGCCCTGTCAATCAAGCGTGCTCTAGCAGAGGATTGGGTCTTGGCGATAGGGCTTGCCTCGCGGCTCCGCCTTGTTAGGGCACTGGCGGCTCTATCGCCAAACTCCACCGCTGTCCTTGACCCTCGACATGTCACAAGGGCAAAGAAAATTGAAGACCCTTGGCTCATCCTCACCTAGCTGCGACCGCCGCTGACCTCCAACTCTGACACGGCCTTTTCCTTCTTAAATCTTAGAATCGTTTCTTACCCTTGACTTCAAATGAAGCATTTGGCTTGTGGACGGTTTCTTCAGTGTTTTCCATCTTCTCCGTCCCCTTATGCCTTAGAGTCTGGGGCCTACTGTCCATTAGCATTGTTATTGCGCTTGGCTTCCCATTGCCTCCAATGTGGGCATCTTCACGTTCCCCCAGAATAAATACTAATACCGTAGCCCACCCTTCAAATCAGAGTCAAACTGAGAAGCAGTTCCTTAGGGAGAGGGTGGGGGACATCTTTCTAATTCTAATATAAAGTGCAAACTCCTTAGAAGGCTTTTAGGAATCCTAATCCTGCTTTTCTCTCAGACTTTCTCAACATGGTCTGCCTTTTTATTTCCCACAGCTCTTTATTACTCTGACCTCAGTGTTTCAGGGACTACTCTGCCTCGCTGTGTTTTCACCCAGGAAGGCTTTTCCCAGGCTTTCTTTCCCATGTTCAGAATTCATTTTGGAAATTACTTAAAAGTTACCTTTCCTTTCCAGTTACTTCGTTGCTACTTCATTATCCTTCTGCATTAGAAGGTTTGCCAGATAGGAAGAGATACCAAGTAAAATGTTCATAACAATTTCAGTGTGACATTTACTTGTTGATTCTGACAACTCTGCTCAAGTGACATCCCATCACAACCTATATCTTACCCCCTACAGCTCTTTCCTAGTGTAGCAAACCTTCTAGTATGTAATAGGCATTTCATAAAAAGGTGTAAATACACGATAAAATCTTGTATATGAATGACAAGTCCTTAATGGTTATTTCTAGAAGAATACCTCCATGAACTAGAAAGTAGTTATGAAATATGTTCTTTGAAGATCAATGATCAGTTTAAAGATTTTACTTATGGCTATCTTTTTTAAAAGTCGTATTTGTTATAATTTTGCCTAAATAAAACAAAATTGACTTTCGTCATTTTGGGAAAGGTACAGACACTTTGGTTTTTGGAATTTTTGAAACAGAATCCTCTTGTGTAGAACAAGCTCTCCTGGACCTTCACAATCCTTCTGCCTCGGGACCACCATAAATACCTGCCCAAAAACTTCCATTCTGTAAAGCAGGAACAAAAGTCCCCACCCCAAAATTCACTGTAGCAAGTGGCTCCTCTCTTTTGGCAGGTCAGCAAATGCTGGATTATCCTAAATGTCCATTGCCTCTTTACTAATGTCCATGGAAGTCTTGGATATACTACATCTATCAGTTAAGTTACTGGTTTGTGTTTTGCCCAAACTCATTGTCATTAGGAAGTAAAAACAGTTATTTTCAGCACACACAATACAGATGTTGGCAAGGTCCCAGTTTACCTAGAAAGCTCACCTGTCTACTTCACCTGTTTACAAGTCCTTAAGGGTAAGAGACATGACTGCTCACAGAGTTCTTTGATTTGCTCAACTATAGAAGTAATGCGGTGATTTTTTTTTTTCCTGTAGAAAGACAGCACAAAGACACAGAAGAAAGGTAGGAAGAAAAGCACTGCGTGATCTATTAATAAATAGGTATTAATTTTTATCTATCCTCTCAAGACCTGAATTTGCCTTTCCACTGCTTGACATATTATATTGTTTGTTGTGGATCATCCAGGTCTCTTCCTTCTGTATTTGAATTGTGAAATCTTAATCCTGGGTGTTTGGAAATGGGGGCTTTGGAGGTGATTATGTCATGAGAGTGGAATCTTAAGTGGAGTTAGTGGTCCTATAAAAGACAATCCGATCTGTTTCTTTTCCCTTCCTGCCATGTGGGGACATAGTTAGAAGACAGCCATCTACACCAGGCATAGTATCTGCCAGAACACCGACCTTGGACTTCCCAGCCTCTGTCATTTTACTAAATAGATATTGGCTGATAAAGCCACTTAGTCTGGTGTGTGTGTGTGTGTGTGTGTGTGTGTGTGTGTGTGTGTGTGCGCGCGCGCGCGCGCACGCAGGCTAAATGGACTAAACCACTGTTCATACATACAAGTTCAAGATACTAAAATCTGAAATCTAAATCACAGCTAACAAAAGTCTAATGTGGGGGAATTCTGCAATTTTAAAAAAAGAAAATTGAAGTTCATAAAAAGATAGATTAGAGATTATTTTATCATCATACTCGATATAAACAATACTTTTACATATACTCTTTAAATTCCTGTTCCCAGGGAGTTATCATTAATGATGGCTTTCAGCTTATCTGTTCATGATCAGCCATACGGTTCCATCAAGTCTGCAGACAGTTTTCTCCACTGTACTGTACTCTCTTCTGAAACGCTCTTCTGTCGTTTCAATGTACCCTGCTATATGGAACCATTTGATTTATATAAGACTTCCAAAAGACAAAAAGCATACAGTAAAATAGACTTTTCATTATTAATTTTTTTCTCGCTCCCAGTACTCTGTTCTCTTTAATGCCTTCATTTTTGTTTGATATTGCCTTCTTATGCCCTTCCCTCACTTTACAATCTAATTTCTTCCTACTTTTCTACATTATTAGAACATATATAGTCAAAGTGTGTGTGTAAGATCATTTACTAGATATAAAAATTACTCTGCTTCCCAGTCATGAGTTTGAAAGCAGATAAGGAAGTCATGCAGTTTTTCTCGAACAAATATAAAAAGTCCCTGAAAACCCTCAAGTAATCTTTTTTATTAGTTTTTGTGGCTCTTATTTTCCCATATTTTACTGTTTATCACAGAACAAAATAAAAAATTTTTATTGTGTATATTAGTAATAGATGTTAAATTTTTATTATTTTAAATTTATAACTTGAAGGTATTTCACATTTGTTTAAAAAGAAAGCAAATTTTTATGGTATTTTTACTCTATTTTATGAATTTTTAAAAATCTGTTTATTTTTTAAGCACTTTTTTCAGCTTGATTAAAATATTGCAACATATATGTCATATTCTATACTTTTATGGTAGGCAGTATTCCAATATATCATGTACATTTGGTAACTCCAGTACTTCATTCTTCTTGGGAATAAGAAGGGCTTTATTTTAATAGAATTTGGAATAGTGTCAGAATCCAAGGTTTCATTACCATAGCAACAGAGAACAATGGAACCACTAAATGTCAAATAAATTCAATGTTACCATAGTAACAATCAGTTTCTTTAACAAATATATTTACTGTTCTTTCCTGGTCAGTTTCTCTAATGCTCTCATCTGTAGGAATACTCAAAAGTAAGAGAAAGTTCAAAATTATTTTTAAAAGAAAAACTCTCCAAGAGTCAAAAGCAATTTGTTTCACTGTCCATTATTTAAAGAAAAAAGTCACATGATTCACAAAAAAAATAAAAAAATAAAATAAAATAAAAACTTCTAAAGGAAACAGAAAACTTTAGTTTTGTTCCACTTAGGAACATTCCATTTTTCTTACTTACTGTCAGGCAGACTGAAGCACAGCATTTGAAACATGTCTGCACTTCCTTTGCATGACATTTCAAGCCACTTTTCCTGATCTTCTGAATAGAGGCTTTGCTCCCACAGACCCGATCTCTCAGGCTCCTCCCTAGGACTGCAACAGAACAACAGCTATGCCTCCCTCCACTGCCCATGCAAACCACTCCTGACAGAAAACAAGGTAGGCTGCCTGTAACCTTCTCCACTCTCTCTGTTCTCCCAATCCCTCAGGCTCCTCACTGTGGCCTCACCCTACTGTGGCCTCCCTTCTACCCTGGATCCCATGGATCATCCCCTCCTGCCCTCCCTTCCCCCACTCATTGCTCTATCCCAGCCTCCAATACCAGTAGGCATCCTAGGAACCCACCAGCAGAGCAGGCACATAAAACAGGCAACATTTAAATATCACACTCTCTGAAAATCCAGAGAGGAAACAGAAACCAAGGAACAAAACACACACCCAACAAAGATTACTCCATCTTACCACAAAGACACTTAGACACTTGCTCAGCCATACTCAGGCGTGCTCATAATCGCCAGAAGCTGGAAACAACCTAGGTATTACTCAATAGAAGAATGGATAAACAAAATAGAGTATTGCTCAGTTGTTAAGAAAAAAAAAAAAAATGACATCATTATTTATGGGCAGATGGATGCAACTAGAGTGAGGTAAACCAGAACCAGAACGACAAATATGATATGTATTCACATATAAGTGGATATTAGCAGTTAATTAAATAATAATCAAGCTGTGATCCATGGACCCATCAAGGTTAGGTAAAGAGAAGGCGGGGTGGTGGGGAGAGACACAGCTCTCCCTGGGAAAAGGAAACTGAATAGATTTGCAGTTGGACTTGAGGCAATGGGGCTGGAGGGTAAGGGATCAGGTGTCAGGGAAAATGGAAGGGAAGCAGTGAGGAGGGATGACTGGAACTGGGGGACACTTGGGGTGGTATGGAAACCTAGTGCAGCGGAAACTTCCTGGGATCTCTGAACAATCCTACTGAGGACTCCTACTAACGGAGGTACAGAGTCTCAGCTGACCACATCTTTCGGCAATTATCTTTTAGTTTACTTGCTGTCATTGTCTCGTTATTTTATAACAGTGTCTTGGTGATTTTCTTTCCTTTTTTGTGATTTAGAGTAAGGACGGAAGTGGTGAATAAT